GCCTCTCTGATGTCCATAGAGGGAATGACTGGGGTGGGATGAAAACGACTGGTTGAAGCCCAGCTAATAAGCAGAACAAAGGAAGAAAGGGAAAGAAGAGGAAAGAGAAACAATCGTAACTGCTACCACGCTCAGCTAGTGCCAGTGGAAGATGTGCAGGACCAGACAGGGGCAGAGATGGGAGGGCCCAGGAATCTTGAGGTTCCTCCATGCGGAGAACTGGCCAGAGGCCATGGGAAGGAGACAGAGAGGAGGTTCCCACAGTCACTTCTTGCATTTCACATTCTTTGATCTTTGAAAGGGATCCCAAGAAGATGTCCTCCTCATACACACGGTTCAGGAGTGGTCAGTCCCTGCAGGGAAAAGTTTTCCAGTAAAGCAAATTGTCCTGATCCTGCCTGAGTGGCTGAAGCCTCACTTGTGCTCTCTCTGCCCCAGGATTCTCCCAGATTCTTCAGCTGTCACCAAGTTCCTCCATAATGTGATGTGTGATCTCCCTTCTCCCAGCCAAGGACATTTGAACCTCAAAGAAATCCCTCAACACCTGAAACAAATAATAGGCTCTCTTCAGCAGGCCTTCCAGTTCTGGCTTTAGTGCCCACATCCAAACAATTTTTTAAAATCTTGTAATCAAAGCAGTGTGTGGTTTCTGAGGAAAAACCACATGTGCTGAAATTCATTAATTAATTTCAGTACTTATCACTTTTATTATTATTATACCATTTCCCAACTCATGGAAAAATATTTCAGTACTTAATAAGTAGTGTGCCTGTATTTACATATGCCTCCTGAGTATAAGCCTTGGTTTATTCTATTTAAGAGCAATAAATTCAGCATTCTAAAGAAAGAAAACTTTCATAAACCTAACCAAAGAGATTTTAAGCAAAAGATTTGTACATACATATAGAGACAAATTGTGTGTCTACACGCATATATATATATACATATGCGTATGTACACACACACACTAAATTGACACCACTTTAAAAGTATCCAGTTTTCCTGAATATAGAAATCCCTTTCTTTTCACAGATTTGCAGTTTCACAGTCCCAGTGGTAGAGGTTCTTCATGCCAACAGAAGTACTCTTCCTTGCGGCATGAAAGGCTCTTTGTTGTTATGTTCTTGCACTAGTTTCTCATTGAGCATTTTGCAGAATCCCACAGTTATTCTCCACTCTATCACAAGTGAAAGGAAAGCAAGTGGTACTTCAGAAAATTAGTACATACCATTGGTAGAAAAGGAGAGGAGAATTTGTAATAATTTTACATTATAATATTATAAATTCTCTTATTTAAAGAGAATTCAAGGTCATGCCTTTCAAAATAATGAAGTTTCTATGAAAGTTAACAGTGCTCTTTGAGACCCTCTACCTATAATTAACTGTGTCCCATGATCCCTTGGGGACCTCCAGATCACTCTAGAAAGGCTCAAGATGCATGAGTATCCAGGCCCACTAGAGGGTAGAAGACATCAATTTCCCGCTCCCTTCCGCCTTTAGTTTGGTAACAGTACCACGATGTACCTTTAGGGAATCTCCTCATTCTTCGCTCTCCTGTCTGTTGGTATAGCTGTGGCTCACAACCCCTGGGGCTGGAAGTGAGTTCCTGATCCCAAGCCAAACTCATAACATTCAATCTCAGGATATTAAGTAGAAATTTTGTAAAAGAAATTCTTTCTCTAAAGCTGCCCAGCTGGTAAAACGTAAGTCTGAAGCTTTGGTGAACACTTTCACCACACTTCTGAGAAAGCCGCTGAGTGAAGCCAGTATATAGGAAAGAAAGCAGAGCCAAAGATGGTGAGAGAGACACAGAGATGTGCCGCTTAGGTTTCTCATCAGGGAATGACAAAATGCCCAGTTACAGGGACTGTGGTCATCAGATGGTCCAAAGCTGTCAGCTTCTTCAGAGTCTGCCTCAGCTATGGAGACCTGCCTCACCTGGGGTCATGCCCTTATAGCTCAGTCCACGTTAGTGACAGAGCAAGGCCACATACAAAGCTTGACTATCTTGACTAATCTTGGGAAAGACTTCACGGTCAACTCAGCAGGTTGGTCAAGCTTTTGCAGAGCCTGTATCATGGTTTCACTTCTCCCTCTGCCTTTCCCTTCATGAGTAACAGCTTGCACTCTGAGCTCCATCTCAGCATCTGCTTCTAGAATACTCTATCTGGGATAGGTAGAAGAAAGCAGATGACTGATTAATTACTTGGAAAATCAGTTACGGCTGAAATAAATTGTCCCTCCAGTAGATTGAATCAATAAAGTAGCAACTGAAAGGTTCTTCACAAAACAAGCTCTATAGATCATAGCACAGAATTTTCATGGGAAATTCTGATAGCTGGTTGTACCTGGATATATCCTATTTTTAGAATTTCTAGCCACCAGCTCTCTCACTTTCCTCAAACTAATCTGATAATCCATCTTAATCTTCTTAGGTTTATGAGGAATGAAATCTTGACACCCAAATTACTGAAGACTACCTAAATCATTAATGAAAGGAGGAAGACTTGAGGCGAGAAATGTCTTCTTCCAAAGCCTGTTGTAGGCATCAAGGGAAAGAAGGGCTGTGAGTTTGTTTCTAAGGTAAGGAGCCCCTGAGTCCAGGCATAGGGAGCTTAGAAAGGCAGAGACAGGGAAATGAGATTATGACCTCATATCCAGCCCAAATTTATATTTACTTCCATCCATAGCTTTTGTCTCTTTCAACTCTGTTCTATAAAGCTGACTATAATTTGACTGTACCCTTGGTACTAACTAGAACACTTAGAGCACTCCTGTCTCCTAATGGAGCTCAGCAGAATGACTGTTGAGTACCACCTACATTACTGACATAAATAATTCAAATGATTAGGATATAGTTTCTGCTCTAGAGGAGTTCATAATCTAGTGTGTGCAATATGGGTTTGGAGTGTAGTGTTTGTATATGTGTGACAGTGTCTACAAAACAATTGTTATAATAAAATGTAACTATGAATGACTGATGATTAATTGACCACAATTTATAATAATTTGGGAATGGTAGGTAGGGAGGAAGAACGGGCCTTGGATGGTTTCAGAGCAAAGGTAGCAGTGTTTAAAGCAACATGCTGTGCTCAAGGAATACCAAATAGCTCTATTTCACTAGGCCATCAAATTCAAGGGGTTGAGAAAGGCATAACAAACACTAGCCAAAAAAGGCAGGAGTCAAGTCATGGAGGATATTGGATGCCCTTGCCTAATAAGGCATTAAATGTTTACCTTTTAGATAAAGTCTATATCTAAAGATATAGACTTGAACAATTTTATACAGAAGAGGGACATGATCATAGTTAAACTTTAGAAAGATTATTTTAGGGCAGAGGTGGATTCAGGGCAAGACTGATTCACAGTCCTGAGTGAATCACGAGTGACCACATCATGGTTGCTAAACAGGCACACTTTGAAATTGAAAAAGGAGCACTGTAATCATTCCGCTCAGAAAATTGGCATGAACTGGGATCCTTTCTGGAAAACTAGATGTATGTTTATACCATTTGAGGGATTTAAGGACACCGGGATCATTTACAAAGTTTCTGAAATGATCTAAGTTGGAGACAAACACCATGGAAGCAATAGCAGTGGGGATAAAAAGGAAAGATAGATTTAGAGAGAGAAGATAACATTGGGAATCTTTGATTAATGATTGTAAAGGATAAAGAAGAAGAGAGACCCTCCACTTTCGGCTGTGACATGTTTCAGGTTTGGAAGATGTCCCATCTGTCCATACAACAAGAAAAAACTGAACAAATTGGAAATCTGTGACTTTCCTTCAGAGAGCTGAAGTCACAAGGCAAACCTACACTCCCCAATTCTAGCAAGACAGAAGAACCCAGAGTCATAGCTGAGATATATTTACTGGGGGAGGAAGCCTCTAGAACTACAAACTAGTAGGAACGCAAATTGTAATTTTGATGAATTACTGGAGACTGAGTGTGGGCTAGCATGTGAGTGAGAAATTCCTTAAGGGCACTGTTGTAGGGGGACCACCCACACATTCATGAGTTTTGCTTCCAGAAGTCCCACCAGGTTTTTTTTGTGTGTGAAAAACCAAGAAAATCCCCTTATGGCTTTGGCAGGGGGGAGGGAAAAACTTCAATTTACAAAAGGTGCAGAGATCCACTGTGTTTTCTATAATAAAGCTCTATGTTCAGAGGAGAGAAAAAAAACAAAATTGCCCTTGAAGGTAACAGCCCAAGAACTCAAGCCTACTAAAAGACAGATTTGTTCATAGGATTAGAGACTGTTTTCCTTCCCATATCTTACCACCTAACCAGCAAGGATCCAGAGTAATAACAATGGATTATTGGCTAAAAGACTGAAAGGTGCTTCTATCCAAGGAAGAGTTCTTATGGAATCCCAAAATGAATGAGAGACAAAATCAACGGCACTAGAGGAAGTTGAAGCCTATAGCCAAAGCAAACAACACAGCCCAATCTGACTCCTAGCAGATGAACATAAAACTTCACATAAAAGCCTATTTACTTCAATTCTTAATATACACTACATCATAGCTTTCAAAACTAGACTACAATGCATGTGAAAAGTCAAGAAAAAAGTAGTTTGAAGAGACAAAACAAGACTCAGAATGACACTCAGATATGGCATAAACTTGGAATTATCAGTCAAGAAACTTAAAATAACTGTGGTTAATACATTAAAAAGCTCTAATGGAAAAAGTAGAGAGTACCCAAGAACAGTTTGATGATGTGAGCAGAGGAAAGAAAACAAAAGGAAAGTATATTGTACCCATCTATATACTGGATATGATCAAGGAAAGAATCAATGAACTTAAAGGTAAAACAGGAAAAACAATTAGTGTGATTACTCAGGAACAGATAAGCCTCCTCATGTTCCTTCTAAATAGCAACATTGCATGAGATGAAAAGAAGGGAAAAAAAATCTATTTTATTTTGAATTAAGCATCAAAAGAACTTGCTTTGATGGGATTACAAAAAGTCCAGTTTGGGCTGAGAGTTACTTACGTTGAAAGCACCACTGCAAGGGAGGGAACAGAAAAGAAGTCAGTCCTTTTATGCCTTTCTCAGGAATTGCAGGGCAGTGCTGTGAGCGTCAGAGGCTACATTCAGCTCCTTGGCTGGGACACAGGCAGGGTCAGATCCACAATCTCAAGTGGCTCCAGAAGGAATAAAGAAAATGCCTGGTATTCAAGAGCCAACTCTCAACTGGACTTCAGCATTGCCTTTTCTGTTTTTCAGGGGTAGATAAATCCAAATATGTTTGAGAAAATATGTATATTTCTGTTGTGAGGGGAATGTGGCTTGATTCATCCTTGTTTATCAGGTCTCCAATTCCAATTTCTCTGATTGGAAAGGAGGAAAAGCAGATAGAGAAAGATTTCTGTGAGGCAAGGTGCTTTTTTTCTCTTTCTTTTTAAAAAAACTGAATTGTAATAGAGGCCAAAGCTGACCTTGGATGCTAAAAAAGTATTGGGATGACAGAAAAGTTCTCTGTTGAAGAAGTTGTGATAGATACACTTCTGATTTCATTCACTCTGTTGCCCACAGACAATCTCTTGTTCAAAGCCCTCCCCAAATTTAGCTCTGCTATAAGACTTCTCCATACAATCTCAGCCAAAGTCACCTTCTAGATTCATAACCCTTATCACTGACAATGCTTATTTCTCATTAAATATTTATGGCCTTGAGTTATCACTTGGGTATGTTGGTTTGAATTGACTTTAAAACTTCCTTGCAGAGAATTTCAGCAGAAAAGTTAAACAAAGTATGAACCCGTCACTCAAAGAAAAGTTCAGACCAGAGATATAAAGATGGAAATCTTGAGAAAACAGGTGGTTATTAGAACCAAAAGAATGAATGAGAGTATATAAATAAAGGAATGTAAAGCAGGAAGAGAGTTCTGAAGAACACCATTAGTTAAGAAGTACCTAGGAGAAAAATTAGTGAAAAATGTCAGGAAAGCAGAAAGAATGTTGCTTTTTTATATGCGTTTAGTTTTCCGAGAGAGAAAGGAAATGTGTTATTGGCGATTTCATTATTTTCCAGAACATCTATGACAATTCTTTGCATACAGTATTTGCTCTAAATATTTATTTGGTGCAGAGGGAATGGGGAATAAATTCACATAAATACTGCTCTTATTTTCCATTTGATTGTTATGTTCTTAGCAATCATCCTAGTGCCAATCCTCTTCCAGTGTATTTATCCCATCTTTTCTCAGAAGACAGGGAGTGGACAGTGGTTGTTAGTGGCAGACTCTCACCTCTAGGGGGAGCTCAAGGAGAGGAGCACTAAGTAAGGGTCACGTCTAAGTTCATGTAACAGTGAGAGACTTTCTTTTCTTGGGCTCGAAAATCACTGCAGATGGTGACTGCAACCATGAAATTAAAAGACGCTTACTCCTTGGAAGAAAAGCTATGACCTACCTAGACAGCATATTAAAAAACAGAGACATTACTTGGCTGACAAAGGTCTGTTTAGTCAGAGCTATGGTTTTTCCAGTAGTCATGTATGGATGTGAGAATTGGATTATAAAGAAGACTAAGCGCCGAAGAATTGATGCTTTTGAATTGTGGTGTTGGAGAAGACTCTTGAGAGTCCCTCGGATTGCAAGGAGATCCAACCAGTCAATCCTAACGAAATCAGTCCTGAACGTTCATTGGAAGGATTGATGCTGAATCTGAAACTCCAATCCTTTGGCCACCTGATGCGAAGAATTGACTCCTTGAAAAAGACTCTGATGCTGGGAAAGATTGAACGCAGGAGGAGAAGGGGACGACATAGGATGAGATGGCTGGATGGCATCACTGACTCGATGGACATGCGTTTGAGGAAGCTCTGGGATTTTGGTGATGGACAGGGAAGCCTGGAGTGCTGCAGTCCGTGGAGTTGCAAAGAGTTGGACAGGACTGAGCAACTGAAATGAACTAAGCCCATATTGGGTCACGGTAGTAGGTAGTAGTGGACTGAGTTTTTTGTGAATTAGAAAAGGATTAGATGGAATTAACTTCCACTGGGCCGAATCTTTAAAACTTATGAAATCACACTTTTTAAAAAAATTCACATGATAGGGAGCAGATCCATGCTTGACTCTCACTTGGAAAAATCCCTCTAACCTAGAAAAACTAAATAAAACATCAGGATAGAATTCAGGGGTTAAAAATAATGGCCAAAGGGAGACATATGTTGACTGATACATTTCACTCAAGGCATGTGACTCTGAGTGTGTGTGTCTTCAAGAATTTGAAGAACTTTGAACCATACACAAACTTAATCACTTCCCCCACATTCTCTACCACCCTATTCATCTGATATCTGGCCCATGTCACAGTCACAGATTTTTATCTTTTTAAAGACTATAGGCAATTAAGTTTTCAAATATTGTTTAAATCTGTAAAAGTACATTTTTACAATTTACCCTCTCAAAGCATTCATGATTGAGATTTAAGTGTTCAATATCTCATGAATTCTTGTATTTATGAGATGAAAAAAACCAGCTTTTTTTTTTTTTTAATCAGGAAAAAAACCAGTTCATTTCTTTGGAGATGTTTTGCTTCATGGAGCGAAGCTTAGCAGGATAGGCAGATAATCCCGTGCACAGGCCACAGAATTTGCCACAGTCTGTTCTAACTCTTTTGCTTTTGAGTTCAATGTCTCCACTTACCATATCCACCTAATCTGAGTTGAAATCATGGGAGCATCCTTCTTAAAGGGAATATGTGTGGATCCTTCTTATGGATTGTGAGTCATTGTTTTATTATCACAGCTGATTCCCAGGTATCTCAGTGGTAAAGAACCCATCCGCCTATGCAGAAGATGTGGGTTTGATCCCTGGGTTGGGAAGATCCCCTGGAGAAGGAAATGGTAACCCACTCTAATATTCTTGCCTCAAAAGTCACCAAAAAATGTATTAGAAAAGGCAAGTAAAATCTGAAAACAGAGTATTCAGTGCAATGTGTCTGTCAAACCTTGTTACTTTTTTTTTTTTTTAATACTTGAAAAGAAAGGGTGCTGAAGTGAAAGCCTTCGCTGTAGTTCTGAGATCCCTGCCAAGGTAGGAGACTTCACATCCCAACACAAATGAGCATTCCAAAGCAGGAGGGATTAGGCAATCTCCACAAAGCAGGCACCCTGCCATTGGTTTGGATTTCCCAGTGTAAAAAGCTCTTCTCTTCTAAAAGGACAAATATTTCAGGACTCACCATGGGTAACTGGGAAAACAGGGTCTTCCAAATGGTAAACCGCCTATTTGTTTGATGATTGTTTTGCTAGCTCAGTAAACAAATCTGTTTTGTTCACCTATCCAGTCAGAGAAACATTCATTAGGTGTCTACCACCTGTGGGGCCCTGCACCTGCACAGAGCTGTAAGACAAGGCCTCCACCCTAAAAAGCTGATATCCTAGCACTGCTGGCAAATGAGAATGGATTTCCTCTTGCCACTGCGACCCACAGCAGTATTTTGTTTTAAATCTATCTACTTGAGAGCTTCCTGAATTCATCAGTAATAATCTCTATGATAAGCACACGTATCTAATACTAGTTCCCAGGTATGAGGCATTCCAGACATATTTTTAAATGGTGATTTTCAGAGTCCCATGGCAAAGATTTTAAATGGATTTGATCAAAAGTCAAAAGGAGCCCTTTCACATGCTCTTGCTGAGAAACTTGGCATGGGGACTGTACCTAATTGAGAGACTTTGTTGGCTGCAGTGTGTTGGCTTCAAGCCCAATCACAGGACCCCTTGGAACAATGAGTAAGGCCATTAGTTTGCAAGCCTAATCCCAAGTGACCTCGCAAGAGTTTCCCTCTTTCTTGGGATTTGCAGGTCCCATGGTTCTGTAGCATGGGAGAGTGACATGTTAATCCTGCTTTTCTCTCTCTCATCCTTATAGATTGCTACAAGCCACGGACTGTCCTATAAATGGAGACTGAATCATTTCTTTTTTTTTTTTTAACAACTTGCCAGTGAAGCTTACATCAGAGTATGCTAAAGTTACTTGTGCTATTAACTTTGAACATCAATCTGATTATAATATTTTCTTTTGGCCTTGGTAATAACGCCCCTCCTTTTTTAAACATAGCTTTATTAGAAATGCACCCCACTATAACTGATTTAAATGCTATCAATTAATTAAAATTTTTCCTTAATTATTATTCATCATCCGTAGAGTCTTATTACATATTGGTGTATACTTTTTAGTTTTCAGTATCTACTGAGTGACTAAGCAAATGTAGTAACTAGCTGTCTTAAATATACCCAGAATATTACTGACTCTTCAGAAATTTCCTCTATAGTTTTGTCTTTAAAACAACAAAACAAAACAAAGAAACAAATAAATGCCATACAATAAAACCTTGAAAAGCAATAACATATATATTTTTTTCTTTAGGTAAAGCTAAAACCTAGGCAAGTATAAATTAACAGAACCCCATTCTCCATTACCATGGATTGACTTTGACAATGCGTTCTTGCCAAATTGTTCCTGGTTGTATGGAAGATATTTCTACAAAATAACTTGGGAGAAGCATGGGAAACAGTTCTCTAAATAAAATAAATATATATGGTTGTCTAAGATCATTAGCAGCTGGGTTATAGTAAGTTTATAGGTTCAACATGAAGGAAGCAGACTGTAAAGGGAGGTTATCTCAAGGGTTTTTGTTTGTTTGTTTTTTTATGATGAGAAAGTCCTCTCCCTGAAGCCTGGATAAGTTTGACTAACTCTTCCTACTGAGGACTGATTTCCAGTGAGCTGAGTGCCATTGGAGGGTGACCACTGGCACAGAGATAGACAAGAAACTTTAAAATCTTGCCTTGAACTGTTATGAATTATACCTGCAGTCCATGAAGTCACAAAGAGTCAGACATGACTTAGCAACTGAACAACAGCAATAACAGAACACTTGTTTAAAACTTGAGGAAGAAGCCCCAATCTAGGATTGAGAACCATGGGTTTGTTTAAGAAGAAAACAAAGTGAACATTATCTTGAAGGTCTTTCTTTTTCCCTCCAACTAGAATTAACATTACTAGCTTCAGTGAACAATTATGTCTTTTAAAATACATATTTTAAAATTATTTAAC